CTCTCTCTCTCTCTCTCTCTCTCTCTCTCTCTCTCTCTCTCTCTCTCTCTCTCTGTGTATCATCCGGGTCTTCTTCTCCTTTTGTGCGCTTTTCCCGTCCGTTTGGCGCAGACGTGCGGCGGCTCGGAGCCTGAAGAACAGAAGACCCTTCACAGATGCGGTCCCTTGAGTAGGAGCTGCAGGAGCTGCGTCTCCCCCGCTGCTCCTCTCTGTGAGTTTCCTGGAGGATGTTCGCGCTCAGGATCAACAAGTCTCTCCTGCTCTGCGCGCTGTAACTGTGGATGGCTGCGGGATGGAGATAGCCTTGGTGAGCTTTGAGAACGGCGGCGCAAAAGGGAGCGGTGGAGGAGGAGGAGGAGGTGGAGGCAACATTGCCGAGGAGAGCTGCCGGAACGCGCTGGATGTCCCTCAGCCGGGCTTCGTTCAAGGCGGGCGGGGAGAGGACTACAGCAAGGAGCTGAACACCCGGGGCGGCCCGCAGCCGCCGCACAGCCCCTGGAAGATCAATGACATGAACAACACTCTGAGCTGCAGCGAGAACGCCATGGATGCGCTTTTACGCGCGGACCACAGTCCCCACCTGTTCGACGAGGACATGCTGGACATGGACATGGATACGGAGAGCAACGAGAGGGTGCTCATCAACATCGCGGGTCTGAGGTACGAGACCCAGCTGGGTACCCTCAACCAGTTCCCTGACACTTTATTGGGAGACCCCGCTAAGAGGATCAAGTACTTCGACCCGCTCCGGAACGAGTACTTCTTCGACCGGAACCGGCCGAGCTTCGACGGGATACTGTATTTTTATCAGTCCGGAGGAAAGATCCGGAGACCCGTCAACGTGTCCATAGACGTTTTTGCGGACGAGATCCGGTTCTACCAGCTGGGGGAGGAGGCCATGGACCGGTTCCGCGAGGATGAGGGCTTCATTAAAGAGGAGGAGAAGCCGCTGCCGCAGAACGAGTTCCAGAAGCAGGTCTGGCTCATCTTCGAGTACCCGGAGAGTTCCAGCCCGGCCCGGGGCATCGCCATCGTGTCCGTGATCGTCATCACCATATCCATCATCACCTTCTGCCTGGAAACGCTGCCGGAATTCAGGGATGAGAGGGAGCTGGCGGTCACCAGCCGTCTGGACAACAGCACGGCGCCCCGGCCGTCGCTCACCTTCACCGACCCCTTCTTCATCATCGAGACCACGTGCGTCATCTGGTTCACCTTCGAGCTCATCGTGCGCTTTTTTGCGTGCCCCAGCAAGTCCGAGTTCTCCAAGACCATCATGAACATCATAGACATCATGTCCATCATGCCTTACTTCATCACCGTGGGCACTGAGCTGGCGGAGCAGCAGGGCCAGGAGCACCAGAATGGTCAGCAGGCCATGTCTCTAGCCATCCTGAGGGTCATCCGCTTGGTCCGGGTCTTCCGCATCTTCAAGCTGTCCCGACACTCCAAAGGGCTGCAGATCCTGGGCCAGACTCTGAAGGCCAGCATGCGCGAGCTTGGCCTGCTCATCTTCTTCCTCTTCATCGGGGTCATCCTCTTCTCCAGCGCTGTGTACTTCGCCGAAGCTGACGAGCCGGAGTCCCACTTCTCCAGCATCCCCGACGCCTTCTGGTGGGCGGTAGTCACCATGACAACTGTGGGTTATGGTGACATGAGGCCGGTGACAGTCGGGGGGAAGATCGTGGGCTCTCTGTGCGCCATCGCCGGAGTGCTGACCATCGCGCTGCCGGTGCCCGTCATCGTGTCCAACTTCAACTACTTCTACCACCGGGAGACGGACCAGGATCAGTCCTCCCTGAAGGACGAGCCCAACAGCGGCAGAGAGAGCCCCGAGCTTAAGCGCAAAGGCAGCAAAGCGTCCGTGAAGACTCAGGATGTGGAGAACAACGAGGCGGGCGCTTCGGTGGAGAAAACGAACATCAAAGCAAACAGCAGCGTGGACTTCAAGAGATCCCTTTACGCGTTCTGTCTGGACACGCGGGAGACGGACCTGTAGCCGTGCACGAGCACACCTGGGCTTAAAGCAGATACAGTCGTGTAGAATAAACCCCATTAATGGGCTCTTAAGTCTTTGCACATTGCAGTTGGAGGATCAACACATTGCAATCCTGAAAAGTTTTAAGAGGGTTGGTTTATAAAAAGCACACTTTAATCCCCATCATCTGGTAAGCACGACAGTTAAAAGTGCGGAGTTATGAACGAGCTGCAGCGCATGTGATGCAACACAGAGGCCCTTTAATAAAGCAGGGACACCTGCAGAGCATCAAATCTAACTCATGGATGAATTAGAGGGAAGTGGGACATCAGATGCTGCAGATAATCAGGGACAAGCACGACTCGGAATAATTACTTGACACAGTGAGAGGATTACCGGGACCAACTAGACTGTGTATATAATGCAGGACGCAGACCACATTCAGTAGTGCAACAACAACAACAACAACAAATAATAATAATAATAATAATAACAATAATAATAATTTCCCAACTGTGATGTTTATACTGGCAGCAGACGTGTAAATATTCCCCACAGGCTGCTCTTATTGTAGAAAAACAAAAGTATATTTTTGAGATGCAGACACCTGATTTCCTTCACTCAGGTTCTGTTTAAATCAGAGAGGGTTTGGGGGGGACCTCAGCCTTGAACTTTTAAATAAAGAACATTTGGAATTTTTTTTTAAACTGAGGGAACAACAGCCAAGAAAAGAGGACAGAGCAGAAACCGTCTGGAGAGATCGAGCATCAGCGATACCAGGTGAGAACATGTGAGCACATTTTAAGAGTTTTTATGTAATGACATGCTCAGTAGTGTGCACGTGAGGCACAGTCATGTCGCCGGGAGCTGTCCTTTAAGCACCACGCTCCTCGGTATGGAGTCCGATTGATGCCAAATTTCAAGTTACAAAAATTCAATTATATCTTAAATTTAAATTAAATTTTATTTTTGTCTATTAAAAACAAAGCATACAAACTTCTACTCTATATTATTTAAATATACACGAATTTTGGTTATATTCATATTGCATCCGAGCATAAGTCGGATGCAATATGAAGTCTTTAATACAGTCAACAAAGTCATAGTCATCTGAGTGACACTTTAGATTATATACTATACTGCACTTGACAACAGTGGGGGGAAAATCTCCCTTTTAACAGGAAGAGATATGTGTCAGAAACAGGATTAGAGCTTCTAGTTGCCACCTTCAGGCAGCAAGAGAAATTACACAAATACTTTTGAGACAGGGCAAGTGTGGCCCTGCTGATCCTATAAAGAGCTCTGCAGACCAATGTGTACATGTTGTTGTGCTGTACTGTCAACAGGGGGCAGTAGTTTGTTATTGGTTATGTTGTTTAGCTCCACCCACAGAGAAAACAGAAGTGAAAGTAGAGAAAGAATTTCTTTATGATGGCGTGAAAAGAAATTAATCAGCCTGTCTGAGCTTTTTTTTGGATCTTTCATTATTTTTCGTATTTGTGGTGAATTTTCATTTCAAGTCCTCTCTTATCCATGCGCACGTTTCAACCAATCAGCATACTAACCACACACCAGGATACTCGCTGTGGATTTTATTTCATTTCATTTCATACTTTTTGGGAGGAATCCCCCTTCTGACCTGTTCCTACAGGAGTGTCTTTATTTAACATCTGTCCAAGAATGAGTCCGAGTTTAGGATCATGTTTCATAACACAGCTAAATTATTTCAAGTGTCCTAAGAAAATGATTGATTATTCAGGCAAACATGATAATTACATCATTACTCCAAATATTTTTTGAATCCTAGCATGTTTTTTCCCCAACATACTCAGCTAAAAATACAGCTAATAATATTCTGCAGTGAACATGGAAGTCTTCATCATCATGCTAAAGCTAAGAGTCTGGAAACATTACTAAAATGATTGCAGCTTTCACACAGGTTACATGTGGCTTGGTGCCTTCAGAGCTTAGCTCAGTATCAGAGCCGTCTCTGTACCCATACTGTTATCACAGCATTACAAACTAAGCTGCAAATATGGAGGAGAAGTGAAGTGACGACCATCCATAACGTCGAAGCTGAAACCTTTCACCATGTATGCTTGTATGACTCGAGTATTTTAAGCACTGTGATCGTAAACTGGTGGCTTTTCTCCAGTATTTCTAAATCCAGCAAGCTTTAAAGTGGCAGCGTCTTTAACAATCACACATCTTCTAATTAACCTTAAAGTCTGGACATCTGTTTGATGAATCACTTTCACAATATCTCCTGGAGGGCTGCGAACTCTAACTAACCCACTGGTGACTGAAGTCGCTAATCCTCACCTCGCAGGCTTCGTTAGGTCTCAGGCTATGGAGTACAAAGCCTGTGACATGTAACCTCTGATGTGTTAAAAACAGAAGACTTATGCTGGGAAAACAAAACGCTGCCTTTGACCTGCTGGAAGGACAAGTTGGAGCTGTTTCAGAGCAGATTAGTGTGAGAGTTACCGCAGAGGAGGGATGTCTTTGTGAAGATATGGGGCAGACTGAACACGGTAACTAAAATCATGACTTTTTTGGACAACTTAACTGTTGAGCCAGTGTCCAGGTAGATTTAAAATTAAAATGACTCCAACAGTTTGTCAGACTTACAGCTTCCAAATGATGAAAAGACACATCACTGTCTTCATGTACTAAGACCGGTATTTAAAGATGAATATTAATATTGAATATTTAAAGGTGAAGGCAAACATTAAACGGAAAGCACTTTCACTTGTTTCATTCATGCTCTGCCTTCCTGTCGTTCAGTTGGACTCAAGCTCCCACCTCCCTCAGTGGAAGGTGGGGATTTGTTATCTTTTATTTTTAGTTTGGGTAAAAGTGGCAGTGCACAGATGGAGTCTGCAGGCGAGAAACCATCAGCTGTCACTTTGGGTGTTATCTCTGAAGCAGCTGGGAGCTTCCTGCACATTTTTCCTGGGAGACCGGGGAGCGCTGGAGGTTCGATGGGGGCATCTTAATGCACCAAACAAGTCCACTTTAGATATTTATAGAGGTTTTTATCAAAATTAGGAGAGACTGCACATCACAAAATCTGCATCCCTAATTATAAAGCAGCTTCCTCCTTTGGCCTGATCCTGTCCAGCAAACAAAAACAGCACACAAGGAAACCACCACATCGTTTAGTTTGAAGGAGAATATTGTCTGAATCGGTCAGTTATATTCAGCTTGTCTGAAGTCGGGTAGCAGCAGCAGGCTAAACAGGATATTTCAGATGTCGCATTCCCCAGCAACACCTTCCAGTTTCTCCTTTGGGATCCCGAGGTGTTCTCAGACCAGAGGAGTTAAATATAATCTCTCCTGAGAGTTTTGGGTCTACCCCGGGGTCTCCTCCCAGCTGGGAGAGCAGAGAAAGGCTCTTCATAACGTCTGAACCACCTCAGCTGCTTCCAGCACAAAGAAGCAACACTACGAGAGCCGTGTGGATGTCCTAAAGCACATTCAACTGAAAGAACTACTGGCTGTTCATGCATCAGTTTGTGGCTGATGGATGCTTACATAATACTCTATTACATTTCCCACACAGCCTTTAGTTTAGTCAGCAATATCTTGCCTTCTATTAGTAGTTGCGTCTGTTACCTCAAATATCGAGAGCAGTTTAAATCCAAAGCTCCTCATTTCTGTAGCTGACCACTGAACATTCGAGTTCAATTTCACAGTCTGCTCCAGCCCATTCTCACTCCCGACGCGGAATATACTGATGATTTGTCACGCCCCGAGGCGTTCCATGGGAACGCGAAAGGTGATGGTTTGTGTTCTTATGCTACGTGCTGGATTGTGCAAACAGAATGATGCTCCTGCGATAACACATGTTCCAGCTCTGTATTCCAGCCCTCACCCTAACATTATCGCTAACCTTAACCATAACTGTTAACCACCACCTTAATCATGTTAGATAGTGTTTTCCAAAGTGATTTAAGTAAAATAAAAGTACATGTGTAGATTCATTCCAAACGGTTCTCATGTTTCCTCATTTTTCTGAACTCGTAATATAGGGACCTGTTGGGTGGCTGAAAGTGTAATATACAGACAATTTGTCACCTAGCATAAAATGTTACGCTTTGGGAGTGAAAGCGTGTTGTCTGCTTATTGGTCCACATGCTGAAGAAGCAGAGTTCCAGAAAGAAGAAGCTCCTACGTGTTTAGTCAAGTCTTTCTTACAGACAAGTACATGTGAATCTGACGTAACCCAGGTTGGTTTCATTCTATCAGTCACTACCCAGAGTTCACGACTTTAAGGTAGAACTTCAATGTGAACCAAAACTGGAACTTACAGAAACCTCACAGCAGCCATGTTATTGGTCACATGATGTCATTAAAAATGCTCCAAAAGGCTCCAACAAGCACAAACACGGTCCAGAGGTCCAGTTAAAGACAGCTAGCAGTTCATGCCACCGGCATCACCATCTAACTGTCAGTCAAAGAGGCCAAGCCCCTAATAACCCAAACTTTAAGCTTTAATACAATTTTATCTTAAAACTGTTGTTATGAAAGGAGAAATTATCCACAGAGAGAAAACCATTTGTGTGTCAGGCTGTAATAATGTTTATTTCGGCTGTGAAGCTTTAACATGGGATTGGGGACTGAGGAACTCAGGAACTGCAGGTTGGTTGCTGTACATGTGAAAATAGCATTTCATTTTAAGCATATTAAGCCCCACATATTATGAATTCAATATGAGACCATATAAGGTAAACTTCAGTTCTGACAGTTCAGCTAACCAATCAGTTGCCCGAGCTTTTCAGGAGGCAATTTTATAGAGAGAATCCAGAAGTGAACTTTCTGCTTCTGGCATCAGAATAAAAAGGTACATTTTTTTAAGATTCAAGCTCCACCATTGCACAATGAGCATCTAAATGAGTATTAATGGCTGCATTATCACTTTCTCCATTTCCTTTGTAATAACTTCCAATTTATGAGGCCTTATGATCACTGGCACATCATAACAACTGTCTGTCTGTGAGAGACAGCCTGAAAAGCAGCTGGAGGAGAAACCCTTCTTTACTTACTGCTTAAAACAACGCTGTCACCGTTTATACCTAATGTTGGCTGCTGATGTTGGATGAGAACATTTGACTCACAGTCATGGATTTGCAGTGAGGGTCATCCACAGCAAACATAGGAACCATTTCTTCAGAGCCGGCTTTGTACTCGACAGTCGTCATGTAGACACAGGAATTAGACAAAATCAAACTGTGGAGCTGGGGTGTGTGGGGTGTTACTGTGATCTTAGAGCTGTCCGAGATCATCCTTCTGCGGGAATGAAGGACTGTGAAAGTCTGTTTGCTTTGGATAAAATTAGCCTTTAAATTTAGTGTTTCAATGTTCTTCTTGTCAACAGTGCGAGTGAATAAAGTGACCTTTCCTACTTAACAGGCTGAAAGTTCTGGCTGGTATATCTGGCACCGCCTTAGACTGGTTTTTTTCCTATTTATCAGGTAGAACCTTTTCTGTTAGGACTGACAGGTTCTCCTCTAACATTGCTGCCCTAACCTGCGGGGTTCCACAGGGTTCAGTTTTGGGTCCATTATTATTTTCTTTTTATATGTTTCCTTTAGCTGGCATTATTCAGTCTTTTAATGATCTGTCTTATCCTTTCTATGCTGATGACATTCAGCTGTATATATGTCTTTTAAGCCTCATCAGCTGGATAGGCTGTCCACCCTAGTCCAGTGCTTAACTCAGGTTTCTGACTGGCTTTCTAACAATTACCTTGTTTTAAACATGAACAAGACAGAGAC